AGCAATCTGTTGAAATATATAGTCAGTAGACCTGCTCTTATATGTTACACCTCTAAAAGACACCACTAGTTGAAAAATGGCCATTTCAACTATTTTTCTTTGATACAATCTGGCCCATTGTGTGGGCTACCTATCTGCTGGCACATGGTGACAAGCTACAGACACCAAAAGCTGTTTGCAGTCCTTGTCACTTGTTCTTGAGCTCCTGCTTCAATCTACTTCATCTTTTTCTCTTGATTATTGGCTTTGGTGTCACTTTAAAAAACTTGCTCTTGCCACTTTGGACCTGGGTTAAAGGGAAGAATAAGGAGTAGTGATGACAGTCATAGTCTCTTTAATGTTTGCACTTGGGGCTCTCCTACAGTGGTAAGAAGGCTCAGAATTCATAAGGAAATAAATTCTGAAGGTAAGGTACAAGCGAACAGAGTAACAAAATTTTACTTAAGAAATAAAAATGTGCAGCCAAAATCATTCCCTACGCCTTTGCCAGTGTGTTTTCTTGTTACCCATCGTGTTCACAACAGGATAAAAAGGTAGGGACAGCATCCAGGACCCACACAAATCAGTTTCCCAGCCCAAGTTGAGCTCAAGTCACAGACCTCAGCAATGGGTGTAGAAACTAAGTTGGAAAAGAATTCTACTTGGCATATCAAGTACTCTATTTCTTTGTAGGGGAAACACCATACCTTGGACATAACAGGAAAGATTGGCAAATCTATCCTGAAGGATATTTATTAAGGTGTTTCTATTTTACTATAGATATGCCTTTTAGTATAACTGAGGAAGTAAAATTTAAAATCTCCTCCTAAATGCCTTCTCATGAATAAGAACTGAAGAGACAAGTTTTGTTAACCTTTTTCCTTTGGAGCCCCTGGAGGAGAGTCCCTTCCCACAAGACACAAGAGACATCAGGGAGTAGGGGAATGATTCACATTACCAAGCCACTGGATTAATTTCCCATTTCTTCCACGTGTTACAATTGCTTTTCCAAGCTGAGAGGAACATTTCAATTTTTGGTGAACATTTTAAAAAATCAGTTTTGCATTAACGTTTTGCCAAGTTTGTATGGATTAGCCAATTAAAACTCAATATAATCATTATCCAGAATAATCATTAATTAAATAAATTAGTTATTTTGTTTTAATAATGACAAGAAAAACACTTTCCTTGGAATACTTTTTTAATTAATAGATTTGTTCTTCAAGTTGTAAGACATTAGCATTCACATCTTGCTTCTGCTTTATGGCTAGACATCATTTTTATCATTAAGAGAAGGAAATTATGACTAGCACTCAACAATAAGAATATTGCAAGGAAAAATGAGTGTTTATCTCATTAAGGCTTTCAAAATGACTTCTGAGATGATGATATATTATTTTACATTCCAGGAAAAGAAGAGACAACTGTAACTATAGTTACCAAGTGTATCAGAGACCTGTGCTTTCCAGAATAGCCTCCAGACTAAGTATTTATTCAAGGAAGTTGTCATGTGAACACACTTAGGGGCAGGAGGTCAGAGAAGACTTTAAACGTACCTGTCACAAACATTTTAATATGCAGCATTTATTATCTTCATTTTTTTCATAAAACACTATGTACTTCAAAAACACATTTGAGGAGATATCCTCCCTTGAGTTGTTTGCGTAAAAACCATTAGATGGCCTTAGTCCTGGTACAGCAGGTGTTTATTTTCCAGACCTTATATGCCCAGTATGTTATGCTCATAGATGGCCTTGACTTACTTAATATTTTTGACTGGAAGAAAAGAATTCCTATTGTTTTAGCAGACGGAAAATAGAATGCCCAGCTCACCTTACCTCCAGAAAACACTCTTTCTACCTACTTCATGAGGATATAAAATTCCAGTGTGCGAGATCACTTCTGGAAGTACTGATGTCTATCCATGGGGCTGTGCTGTAGGCTGTATTATTTATTCTATATATCGGTACTCACTATATTTGGCTTATTCGGAGTATGTAAAAAGGTAGGGTCTAAAATCAGGTACTTGAATTTGAATGCTGGCTACTTCATTAACTAGATGTGTAAGCATGACCAAAGTTACTTAATCTCACTTAATCTCATCAAAACTCTATTTCTTCATCTGAGAAAATGGTAGTATCTTCCTCATAAATCATTTTCGAGGATTAAATGAGATAACTCAAGTACAACACAAAGTATAGAAATAGCAAGCACTCTAAATATTATCTATTATTGCTGTCGTTAATGATGTTAATATGCATATTACAGCATTTGGAAGTTAAAATTACATTAAAGAAGAAGATATTCATGAACTTATTTAAATTGTTATATAACCCAATTGTTAGCCTTCCCTGGATCAAGTGTTGCCTTTCTCTGGTGCATTTGACAAATGGGTAGGGAGTTGTCTCAATGCCCTCCCCTAAATCATCCTCTTAGCACTCTGGGCTAGAGTGCTGCTGTTCTGAGCTTCCCTTGCTTCACTGAGACCTACTGTCCTTCTTGATGCAATTTTAATGCCACAAGCTGAGTAAGACTGCACTTTCCTTAACTCCTCATTAGGTTAACTGCTCACAGTGCTAATGCACAGGCTACAGAAGTATGCCAGAAACAAGAAGGGTAAAATAAAGAAATTGGAACACTGGAGAAAAAATTTAAATTACATGGTACATAAAAGGCTGCCCACAGTCCTAGGAAAAAAAAGTCATTTTTTTCCCCCAGAGATCACCTCTCTGTAGCGACAACTCATTTGTTATCCTTGCTTCTCTGAGTTGACAGCTGCCTTTTTTCCCTCTCCTTAAAAAGTATCTCTTCTTTTGTAGCAACGTGGATGGAACTGGAGAGTGTGATGCTAAGTGAAATAAGCCATACAGAGAAAGACAGATACCATATGGTTTCACTCTTATGTGGATCCTGAGAAACTTAACAGGAACCCATGGGGGAGGGGAAGGAAAAAAAAAAAAAAGAAAGGAGGTTAGAGTGGGAGAGAGCCAAAGCATAAGAGACTGTTGAGAACTGAGAGCAAACTGAGGGTTGATGGGGGGTGGGAGGGAGGAGAGGGTGGGTGATGGGTATTGAGGAGGGCACCTTTTGGGATGAGCACTGGGTGTTGTATGGAAACCAATTTGACAATAAATTTCATATATAAAAAAAAAAAAAAAGTATCTCTTCTTTATACTTTCACAGAGCCAGTGTCTACCACCCTTTAGAAAAACATCACCCTTTCCTGTTCACAGATGTTTCTTCTAAGGAACCATCTCCCTTCTCTTACCGATATGATTCATAGGACATAATGACCATGACACTTTCCCCAAAGATTTAGTTATTCAATTTGGAATTACATCTTGAAGGCTAGCGAGTAGCCCTCAAGACAGTAGAAGAATCTTGGTTAACCTTTATCTCTCCAAGCCTTAGCATGTTCCAAGATTTCTCTACCAGTGTTAAGATAATCTTTCTTATCCTTCCAGGAAAATCAACAGGAGACTTTTTTAAACACATATACACACCTCCAAAGGGGGGCAGGGGGAATCAGAAGCAGTATGATATTGAAGAAAGCATTTTCCACATAGATGCCAGCCTACTGTATTTTATGCACAGCAGCAGTTCCCTTTTGTTCACCGATTTGAGCTATCCGGATTACAATCCTAACCTCAGGCTATTCATCCTGGTGGGGTTTCACCTCCCTCTGGAGAACTTCAATTATCCCGACTGCCTTTGTCAAAGTTGAGGGGAACCAAGGAAGTCTACCTAGGGCTGCTGCTGTTCCTCTGCCAGGGGCCAATACATGTCTTAGTATACAGAAAGACTCTTAATTTTGTAGCCAGATTATTAAGTTATCTTATTAGATATAATAAATTACTTTATTCTGTTAGATTTTCTAGGTATAAATAATAACATTCTAAATTGTGACTCAGAAGTTTCTTTTCCAATATTTATGCCTCAATTTTCACAATCACATTCTTAGAGGGAGCAATCTTAAATATATTCGTTAGTTATTGATGTTGTTACAAAAATAAAGGTTCAAATATTAGGCAAATATATATTATATTAATATTAATATTATTAGGCAAATATATATTATATTAATATATATAATATATATTATATTAGGCAAATATATATTTTTTTAAATTTTCCACTCTTTAATGGAAATAGAGTGTTGATTTCAAATCACACCAAAAAAAAAAAAAAAAAGAATGAAATAAATGTATTCAACCAAAATAAATAAGTGTATTCAGTCAGGAAAGAAAAAAAGAAGAACACGATGAAAAAAGCATAACAAAAAGTAAATAAGATGTCTGTTTCTGGACTTGACAGAGCAAGTAGTATAAGCAGGTTTGTCATTCGTGCTGTAAAAAACTTCACAACTTGCCAAATAGATGTGGTAACTGTTTTCAGGTATTGAACAACAGGCAGTACAAAACTATGATTCTCCAGAGAAGAAAAAACTTGTAATGTGAGTTTCATGATAGCCCTGGGATTCTGCCTAGAGGTATTTTTCTACTCTGACTCAAGGAGTGGAAGCTTAGACTAGGAGTAACAGAGGAAAAGGCAGCAAAAATTGGATTTCCAAGTTGCTAAAGAGTTTAGAATTTACTACGGAAACCAATTTGACAGTAAATTATATTTTAAAAAAGAGTTTAGAATTTAGAGGGAAAGGAGTTATAATGATGGAAGACAAGTGGAAGTCTGCATAGAGACTGAACGCGAGTCATCAGGCTTGGCTGAAGATGCACAAGATAAGACTTTGGGAAATTTAACAGAGATTGTCTGCTACAGGACAAAGAACTTTGGGTTCAACAAGTTCTGAAAAGGCATTTTCCAAGTGGTTTACATTCATTTCAAGTGATCACAAGGGAGATATTATTAACAATTATCTTCATCCAACCTAATCAGAAAATGTAAACAAACACTAAGGCTACTAGATGAAAAAACTAAACGAGAATGTAGTTAAATTAGCTAATTAGCAAATTAACCCAGAGTGCACAACAATCAGGTCCAAAAGTAATATTACACATAAAGAGCTTCAGTGAGTTTCTCTAAATTGTTTTAAGAATTATTTTCCAACTTCTGGGGAAGATGGTAGAGTAGGAGCACCCTAAACTCACCTCATCCCATGGATACTAGATATTTGCTCTCATCAGAGCAAATAAGCCAGAAAAGGACCCAAAGACTAGCTGAACAAACTCCACAACTAAATGTAGAGAAGAGGCCACATGGAAAAGGGTAGAAAGGGCAAGGACTCAGTGGGAGTCCCAAACCCCATGTGTCTGACAGCCAGAAGGAGGGAGCTACAGGCATGGAGAGGGGCAAGAAACAGACTAGCATACCAGGGAGCCTACGGGGAAGTAGAAATCCCTGTGGCATTTGGCTTTAAGAATCAGAGGGGCCAAATTCCATGGGTCCTTGCAATCACCTGACTTGGAGCCTAGAACTCTGAAGGTGAGTAGGCTCAGCTCTGGTAGACTGAGGGGAGGGCAAAAGGGGGCTGAGCTCCTGCCCTCGAAGGGACATGCAACAGATGGCTGTGGAGATGCAGTTTGGGAATAGTGGCATAGGGTGCCGGGGGCTTGCAACAGGGAGACTTAGTTGCTGATCTCAGTTTGCTGAGGGACTTCTCCAGGAACAGGGGAGCTGATGGGTGCCATCTTCCTCCGCTGTCCCTCATCATAAACACAGAATCACCTGTAGAACCAGCAGCACTAGCAGCACTAGCATTCACTATCTAACTTACCTACCCTGTGCCCCACCCCCTCTGGCCAGGCCTGCTTCAGTCCTGGTGCTGCAGAACCTCTCCCCCAGAAGACCTGCGCAAACCTTGCCAACACTACCTGTACCTTGTTACAACTGCATCCCAGCCCATGTGTGCTTTGTGGACGGTCAGGCCAGTCCAGGTCTCCATGAAGGCTGCTCATCTCCTGTGGAGAAGAACCGGTGCCACCTAGGTAAAAGTGCACCTCCCACCCTACTACTTTCAAAAGCAAGAGATTTAGCTGACTTTCCTAACCCAGAGAAACAGACACAGAGAAGTAGGCAAAATGAGGAGGCAAAGGAATATGTCACAAATGAAAGAAGAGGACAAAACCACACCATGAGATCTAAGCGAAATGGATATTATTAACATGCCTGATAGAGAATTTAAAGGATTAATCATAAAGATAATCACTGGACTTGAGAAAAGAGTGGAGGACATCAGTGAGATGTCAAGGAAGAGAGAGAAAACACAGAACTAACCGGAGAAGCAGAACACAATAAATGAAATTTAAAATACACTTGATAGAGGGGCATCTGGGTGGCTCAGTCAGTTAAGCATCTGACTCTTGATTTTAGCTCAGGTCATGATATCACGGTTCATGGAATCAAGCCTCGTGTCAAGCTCTGCGCTGACAGTGTAGAGCCTGCTTGGGATTCCCTCTTTCCCTCTCTCTCTCTGCCCCTCTCCTGCTCATACTTTTTCTCTCTCTCAAATATAAATAAACTTTAAAAAATACGCTTGATGGAATAAATAGCAGACTGGAAGAAGCAAAGGAATGAATTAATGAACTAGAAGACAGTCGTGGAAAGTAATCAAGCTGAACAAATGAAAGAAAAAATAATTATGCAGAACAAGAACAAACTTAGGGAATTAAGTGACTCCATTAAACATAATAACATTTGCATTATAGGGATCCCAGAAGGAGAAGAGAGAGAAGAAGAAGCAGAAAATTTATCTGGTGAAATAATAGTTGAAAACTTCCCTAATCTGAGGAAGGAAACAGATATCCAGATCCAAGAAGCACAGAGATCTTCCAACAAAATCAACCAACGGAGGGCTACACCAAGACACACAGTGAAGTAAAATGGCAAAAAGTAGTGATAAAGAAAAAAAATTAAATAGAAAAGAAGAAGAGAGTTACATACAAAGGAAAGCCCATAAAGCTATCAGGATTTTTCAGCAGAAGTTTTGCAGGCCAGAAAGGAGGTGTGATATATTTAAAGTGCTGAAAGGGAAAAACCTAAAGCCAAGAATACTTTATCCAGTAAGGCTACTATTCAGAACTGAAGGAGAGATAAACTGAGTTGCTCAGATAAGCAAAAACTAAGAGTTCATGACCAACCACTAACGCAGCCTTACAAGAAATATTAAAGGGGACTCCTGGGGTGAAAAACAAAGTCCATAAGTGAGACTATGAAAAGTAGGAAGCACAAAAGCAGTAAAAATAAGTATTTGTGGAAAAAAAATCAGTCAAGAAATTCACAAACTAAAAGGATGTAAAATGTGGTACCATATACCTAAAACATGGTGGGGGCGAAAAGTAAAGAATGGGCTTGAACTTAAGCAATCATCAACTTAATACAGACTGCTATATACAAAAAATGTTACGTACAGACCCAATGATATATAAATATATACAAATCAAATACCACTGATAGACATGCAAAGAATTTAAAAAAAGGAATCTTAGTATGTCACTAAGAAAACCAACAAACCATGAAAGAAAGAGAAGAAAGGATCAGAGAAAAACTACAAAAAACAACAACAAATAATAAAATGGCAATACATATCTATCAATAATTACTTTTAATATAAATGGTCTAAATGTTCCAATCAAAAGACAGGGTTACAGAATGGATAAAAAAAATAAGATCCATCCATATGTTGCCTACAAAAGATTCATTTCAGACCTAAAGACACCTGCAGATTGAAAGCGAGTGGATGAAGAAACACTTATCATGCAAATGGATGCCAAAAGAAAGCCAGAGTAGCAATACCTGTGTCAGACAACATAGACTTTAAAACAAAGAAGGACACTATATTATAATAAAGGGGGCAATCCACCAAGAAGACATAACAATTGTAAATATTTATGCACCCAACATATGATCATCCAAAAACATAAAATAGTTAATAATAAACATAAAGGAACTAATTGATGGTAATAGAATAATTGTAGGAGACTTTAACACCCCACTTACATTGATGGGCAGATCATTCAAACATAAAATCAACAAGGAAACAATGGCTTTGACTGACACACTGGACCAGATGAATTTAACAGATATATTCAGAACATTCTGTCCTAAAAGAGCAAAATACACATTCATTTCAAGTGCACATAGAACATTCTCCAGAAGAGATCACATATAAGGCCACAGAACAAGCCTCAACAAATTCAAAAAGACTGAACTCATACCATGCATCTTCTCTGACCACAATGCTATGGAATTAGAAATCAACCACAAGAAAAAAAATCTGGAAAAACCACAAATACATGGAGGTTAATTAACATTCTACTAAACAATCAACAGGGCAACCAAGAAATCGAAAAGTACATGGAAACAAACAAAAATGAAAACACAATGGTCCAAAATCTTTGGGATGCAGCAAAGTGGTTCATAGAAGAAATTTATAGCAATACAGGCCTAGCTCAAGAAGCAAGAAAATTCTCAAATAAGCAACCTAACTTTGCACCTACAAAAGCTAGAAAAAGAACAACAAACGAAACCCCAAACCAGCAGAAGAAAGGAAATAATAAAGATTAGAGCAGATATAAATAATATGAGAACTTTAAAAAATAGAATAGATCAATGAAATGAGGAGCTAGTTCTTTGAAAAAAGTCAACAAAATTGATAATCCTCTAGCCAGACTCATCAAAAGAGAGAGACACAGAGAGAGAGAGAGGACTCAAATAAACAAAATCACTAATGAAAGAGGAGAAACAAAATTCAACACCACAGAAATACCAACAATTGAGAGAATGTTTTCAAAAACTATATGCCAACAAATTGGACAAACTAGAATAAATGGATACATTCCTAAAAACATATAACCTCCCAAACCGAAGCAGGAAGAAACAGGAAATTGGAACAGACCAATTACCAGCAAGAAGACTGAAGAGTAATCAAAAACTTCCAAGAAACAAAAGTCCAAGATCAGATGACTACACAGGTGAATTCTACAAAACTTAACTCTTAAATTCTTCTTAAAGAAGAGTTAATATCTATTTTTCTCAAACTATTCCAAAAAAAAAAAAAATAGAAGGAAAACTTCCCAATTTATTCTAAGAGGTCAGTATCACCCTGATACCAAAAAGATTAAAACACTACAAAAAAGCAGAACTATAGGCCAATATCTCTGATGAACATGTAGAAATCCTCAACAAAATATTAGCACACTGAATCCAATAATACATTTAAAAAAATAATTCACCATGATCAAGTGAGATTTATTTCCAGGATGCAAGAGTGGCTCAATATTCACAAGTCAATCAACATAATAAATCACATCAATAAGAAAGGATAAAAACCATATGATCATTTCAACAGACACACAAAAAGTATTTGACAAAATAAAATAACCATTCATGATAAAAGCCCTCAGCAAAGTAGGTTTAGCGGTAACACAACTACAACTCAACATAATAAAGGCCATATATGAAAAATCACAGTGAACAACATACTCAATGGGGAAAAAGTGAGAGCTTTCCCCAAAGGTCAGGCAAAAGACAAGGATGTCCACTCTTACCACTTTTATTCAACAAGTCCTAGCCATAGCAATCAGTAAATAAATAAATAAATAAATAAATAAATGGCATCCAAATTGGTAAGGAAGAAATAAAACTTTCACTCTCTGCAGATGGCATGATACTATATATAAAAAACCCAAAAGACTCCACCAAAAACTATGAGAACGGAAAGTGAATTCAGTAAAGTCATAGGATACAAAATCAATGTGCAGAAATCTGTTGCATTTCTTTTTTTGTAAAACTTTTTAAATGTTTATTCATTTTTGAGAGATGGAGAGAGACAGAGCATGAGTGGGGGAGAGGCAGAGAGAGAGAGGGAGACACAGAATCTGAAGCAGGCTCCAAGCTCTGAGCTTTCAGCACAGAGACTAATGTGGGACTCAAACCCACAGACCGCGAGATCATGACCTGAGCCAAAGTCAGACACTCAACCAACTGAGCCATCCAGGAGCCCCAGAAATCTGTTGCATTTCTATACACTAATAATGAAGTAGCAGGAAGGGATATTAGGGATGTTAGAAA